TAGAAACCCATTTCAAAAGTGGTACATTATTTTCTTCCATCCATTATCTAGCCTTTTTTGAGGTATGGCACGCTGCACCATTTTGCTGAAACACAAAATCTTGGCCGGATGTCAAACATTGACAAATGAAGTTTTACTACTCCTTTTGATGACATACTGCCCTAGACCATAATAGATGCTGGAAATTTCACTCTTTTCTTCAGACAGTCAACATGGAATGCTTCATTTTTTTGCAAATAACTCTATTGCGACTGTCACCAACACAAACTACGAATCGGGTCTCATCACTCCATTGTATTGCACACCATTGTTCAGGTGTCCATTGTCTATGTTCTTTAGCCCATCTAAGCCGATTTTTCTTTTGCAGTGGAGTTAATAGTGGTTTTTCTTTGGCCTATAAACAAGTTGTGCAACTTTAGGGTTTTTACTTCACTTTTTTTATAGGAAAACTTACCTTGCAAGTGCTAAATCCCAGTTTGTTGGCCTCTCTATGAGTTGTGGACCTCGAAATTCTCCTTCCAACATCGTCACTCCACAGAGCACTTAATTTTAAATAATTGGCACGCCTGTTTTTCACGATTATTCTTCTTAATACATTTGTGATATTACTTTTTTTCACATATCGTGGCTTAATATTAACTGAACCAGTTACGTTATATCTTCTAACAATATTTCTCACATTGTACCGCGATAAGTCTAACAAAGATGCAATTTCTGAGTTTGATTTCCCAGAATTAAAAAATTTAGTTATCAGTAACCGAATTTTCTCACTAATAACCTTTCCTCTACCCATTTTGAAAACCTTAACTACCCAAAACTATTTTAAACGTGTTCTGACAGCTGTGATTAGTAAAAACAATTGTCATGGCTTTTATTTTTCACAGCCACCTATGCGTTATGGACTTATTTTGCATTGAAGTGAAAATAGGTTGATATGCTGTAATTGCAACATGTGTTATTTTTATGCTGCAAATTTGATTAGGGAGTGATAAAGTTGGTGTTTTCTACTATATATTATCAAAATAGTCATTGTTAATATTTTAAACCTATAACACCCTGCTACATTGTTATTATTTGTGTTTGATAAGAAAAAAATTAAGATTTCAATAGTTGGGCCAACTGAAGTGGGAAGGGGCTCGTATATATACAGGGTGACTTCGAAGTTGAAATTAAAGTAACAAAGTTATAGCCCTTTGGAAGTTTGAGTACCGCCCTGTCTCAATAATAATATGTGCTCGTGTTTGGCGACAACGGATATAATCCGCCGTATCGGTCCATCGCATCGGAAACAAAAAAGCGAAAGAATTTGGAACGATGTTTTTACAATTATTTCATTCATTTGTATACAGTCAGTGTCAGTGAATAGTGGTATCTGTTGCGTGGCTCAAACGAAATAAAAAATGGCACATGTTTATGCGGATCGGTTTCCCAATCGAGTGCAACCAACCCCTCGTGCCTTTGTTAATGTAGTACAACGGGCTCGTGAATCAGGTGACTTAAGACCTCACAGGGGACCTCACGATCAAATACAGGTCCGCACTGAAATACTTGTCGGGAGGATACTTTATAAAACAAGGTAATTTTTTTTTTTTAATTTTTTTTTATTTTTACACACATATTTTGGTTTATCTTCCTTCTACAATCATTATCTGAAAATTAATGACTCAACTTCAAACTCTATATATACTGAACTTTCTTTGAAAATAAAAGACGAGTTATTATTATTATTATTGTTTCCTCCTACCGATGTTGTCTTTAAATCTACCGAATTTCAACGACACTGTCTACGGATCTGATCTTTTTCGGTTCATCAACACTGCACGTGACTGGCGTCTTTCTGGTAATCCTTGGCCTTTCTATAACTTCAAAAAAATTGCTAATTTCAGTAAACATTTCACAATCAAGGATCTGTTATGGAAAGAACTACTTTGATTGTGAAGAAACTTTTATACGAAGTTAGAACCATGAGTATGGTTCCGCTCATCACAACGAAGCGCTACTGTAGCAATACTTTATTTTCTGCTGAACGAACGTGATCAGTTTTATGAGGTGCAGTGTTTTGTGTTTGGCTTGCCCACCTTGAGAACAGTACAGATGTAGAAGGAGAGAAAATATAACTTCGATTATAAAATAACCTTTATTTAGTCGCAGAATTGCATTTTATTTCATGCTACCAAATGGTTAAATTTCAAATCCGACAATATTAACACTGCAAGATCTCGCCCTCGATTAATGAATCCCGGCTATCCAAACCACGAGATTGAACGAGCTGCAGAATTGCAATCTATAGTTGCTTTTCTAATATTTTGCGGAACTGTTGGAGTTCTAAAGGTGTTCATAGTAGGATCAAATAGTAGTTATACCAAGAGAAGACAGTTAGATAATGCGATTGAATTAGAGTCGTCCACAAATCGGCTGATAACATCCAAATACGTGCTGTTCTCATTTGGTCACAAAATGCAATGTAGTAGTAACAAATCAAGATGTCAGTTGAAAGTTCAAAATTTTTATAACCTCAAGTTGCCAAGTTGAACAATCGTCAGTGTAATTGACATCTAGACAGCCTGCCTTTATTATCTTTGACTATTTGACGTAACCACCAAAAACCGTGGAGAAACTAAACTCCATCCAGCTCAGTATAAATGTCGCGTGTTCTAAACATTTTACCTCAGTTTGGCAATATCGCCTCGGTGCATGTAGAGTCACCTATGATCTAAACGTGTGGATCCTCATTTTTGAAAACCAGTAATAGTTCAAGAGCCGACCGCAAAAATTTGGATACATCGCATACTGATGGTATGTTCAAAACTATTGAAATCTTACGCATTTTGATGATAAAAACAAACTCGACCAGTTTTCTGTTAAGTATTCAAATTACGTAAGATTTATCTTATTTTCATATCATATCAGTACGTGATAACGTAATCAAAATTTTGCTGCCAAATCTCCTACTATAAAGCAGGAGAAACTCAATAATCAAACTCAAGCGGATAACCAAATGAAAATGGTATTTACCATTTTGGGTTGGTATTTACCGATCCGTTCAAGCGAGTGTGATTATCAGTTTGGTTATAAGATCCGTGACGTCATAAATCAGCTGTTAAATGTCATGGTTGTCACCGTAAAATTGTGGCATTTACCCAACTCAGGAGTAGTTTTATATTTCTGGTTATTATTTGAAATGTGACAAGTTAGAATTTTGCCGGGTATTGGATATTGTTATTGTACCTCGCTTGATACAGGCTGACTTCAGTTTTACCATAAAGTGGAGCACCTTTTTAGTTATACTCATTACTGTTATTGGGACACTTTAAATGTAGTTCCTATGCTTAACAAAGTATCCTGTATCCTGTATAAACTCACTAGATGATGTCCACCTGTATACAGTTTTGCTAATATCTTTTTTCATCATTTCTGCTGAATCAGTAAATATTTTCTTTGACATGCGGAAAACTTTAGAGAATTTGAAGTTATCATAGCTATAAAGTCATGGTTCCATCATTAAAAAAAATTCTGAAAAAAAACATTTCTCCAATAAATATTATGAAAGGTTTCTTTTTTAAACTTTCCATACACAGTTGTATACGATAAAGCACCGATTATTAAGTGATAATAAAAATAATCAGAGATTATATATGCGCTTTTCTAAAATAAACAACTTGCAACAAAACCGCGGTTAAAACCAACGCGTTCAAGCGATTCGTGTAACTGACGTCATCAACCCGTGTGTCATCTTGAACCATATCATAACCGCGGTACATAACACAAGACATTTTGGTTATTCGGTTGGATTTGATTAATGTCAATAAAGCCCCGAACCATCGAACGATTATAAAGACATTTCCCGATTATAAATACTCTTTGTCATAACACCCACGCCACTACAATTATGTTGCTTGCTTGTAGAAGCAAGCCTTGTTTTTTAGACAGTCAGCTTTTTTTAGCCGAACAAGATCAACATATTTATTCTTTCGACCTTTTCCATCCGAGGTGGCAATCCACAGATAAGCAGGCTGTGAATTCTACTATAGTTATGCAGGGGCGTATTTACCCTAGAGCCAAAAGGAGCATAGTTCGGGGCGGCAGGCTACGCACAAGCCGCCTCAATCAAAAGGGTTTGCTTTTCTCCGTTTCATAATGGGCGGCAAACCTTGAGTCAGGCTGAAGTAACGGCGATACGAGTCAAAAGAGCTTATAATTAATGAGACTGCAAATCAGTCGATCGCCATTTGCTTAGAGAGTCGGCAGCCATGAAAGCAAGAAGCAATTCAACATTGCTCTGACTACCAAGACATGAAGGGCACAAAGAAAATGAAAAGAGCTAGGCCGACAGGGTGCGGCCAATCGTCTTACAGGTCAGAACCTTCCTTGGCGTGATGAAAATACGCACTAAGCAGTCTATAAGAAATTGGACCAAGAATAAGTTGCTCGAATGGTGGAACAGCCAATTAGGCCAAGAGCTCATCAAAGAAAGAAGGCCGCATCTACAGAGGACCTACTCGGATTTAGTGGTAAGACTATAAGGGCCATCGTGGGTCTACTGACAGGATACTGTCGGCTGGATCGACATATCACGCTCTTGACTCTGGCAGAAGAGGCCACATGTCGCTTCTGCAGAGACCATAAGGAAATCCCAGCGTATCTTCTGTCACTGTGAACGCCTGGCAAGGCTACGGTTTCAGATAGTAGGAATCACAGGTCCAACAGCGAAAATGCAAAGCCGATGTCAAGACCATGAAGTCTAAGGATTAAAACTGGCCACAGAGCTTTAGAAGGTGGTAGATAGATCCATTTGTGTCGCAGTGACGTGAATCCTAGCAAGCCAACCCCTTTTTGTTATCTGTAGCCTATATATAACCTTAAGAGCCCTACGGTGCTGAGTCTTGCAATACGCTACAGAAGTTACGCTAAAGTCCTTCCACCATGGTGGGCAGCGCCATACTATAGTCCATACTATCTTGTATGGTAGGTAGCTCTAAGTAATTACAATAATTTTCCAGATGGTGATCAAAGAGATGAACCGCATCGGCATGATCGTAGACCTGTCACACGTATCTGTCCACACGATGCACGACGCCCTGGAGGTTTCAAAAGCGCCTGTCATCTTCAGCCACTCATCGGCGCATGCGCTGTGCAACTCCACCCGGAACGTGCCGGATGATACATTGCGGAAGTTGGCATTGAACAGAGGTGTCATCATGGTCAACTTCTATTCGTTGTTTCTTACGTGTAGGGAGGTGTCTACAATCGCGGATGCTGTTGGTAAGTAACTATGCAGAACGTTTGGAGTATTTTTATTTAATTCTAGATTGAGCATTTGAAACGTAACTGGTAGAATATTTATGGATTGCATATATGTTTGGTTTCTATTGTTATATTCATGACAAGTATTAATATATTATTGAGAAAAGGTTATTATACCACACAAGTGATACATTTTAAAATGTAGATACAATAGATATTGAGAATGTCCTTTCATTCAAAAACATCTCGACAGGAACTGTATTGCTAATCGAATAACTGATATTTGGGCTACAAAAAACTCTTTCAATGTGATATGATATCCCCTGTCCATAATACTGTAAGATATATGGCTATGAGGCAATTCGTAATAGACTTCGACTACGCCCTTTTCATGTTAAAAATACATTCATTCATAAAATGGTATAATATGCTTTACTCATGGATTTAAGAAAATAAAGTTCAACTAGTTTTATAATCCTTGATCTAATTATTGAATTCTGAACTGAACGCCCTACAACTAGATTAAGTTAATTTGCTATCACAGCTCAAAAAAAAACGAAGTATAACCGCAATAAAACCGTCCCTCGAGGTCGTTAAGGAGTTATTCGCCGCTGCCAAGCAAATTACACGTTCGAACCGCTAGAGTCGAAATGCAACCCTTAGTAGGCCAGCGTTCCGACCGTTCATGTTCCTGTTTTTGTCCTCTAATCCCATTGGTTTTTGTTATGTTCCAGCCCACATAAATCATATAAGGGAGGTAGCAGGAGTGGACAGCGTTGGATTAGGAGCTGGATACGACGGAATTAACTTGTAAGTATTTCGGAGTTGGAAATCAGCGGATGTACACGTTCCTCGAGCTTTGGTTTCTTTGAAAACGGTCGAAATACTATAAAGTAAAATACGGGGATGCCGCTGTGAAACCGCTTTTAAGGTTGCCGAGGCTTTAATGAAGTTCCGCGATGAAAGGTGGTTGGAACATGGATGGCCTTAAAATCGTAATTATTACCATGCGATGACAAATTTCTCCTACTGACACTAACACCGATCGAACTCACGAGCACAGACGCGGCGGCGAGTCTGTCGCGTCAATATTTTTCAATGCAATCCCTAGTTTTACTAACTTCGGTCGTTGACGTTAAAATTATAATACGAGCTCACAGCAAAGCATATGCTTTGAAGAGAATAACCTATTATTTTCTCTAAGATTATTCATCTTGAATCGGTGTGTAAGTATTTGCTATGGCACTAAAGAAAAAATATTACTTTATTTCTATTTTATTTAAAATATCGGTAGTGATCCTAAAGTGTATCTAACGAAGCTACAAAGTAATCGTTAACAGTGGTTGATTCGTGATCAACGCGTGATCGGTAGCCATGGCGCTCTGTCGGCCTCTTCCTGATTGGCTTGTAGCGACGAGCCTCCAGACAAAGTCGCACGGTTGCCACGCTCGGCTAGTTTTCGCCAGAGTGGTTGATCACATTCGCATGGATCACAAATCAATCTGTTGGTGCAATACGTGCAATAACTGTTGTAAAGGACATTATATAACAATAAATGGCATCACAAAGGTATATTCCAATTTGATCTGCAGCAAATTATGAACGGCATATACGGAGATGCGAAAACAAGCTCAAAAAGGTGAAGAAAATTTTTGAGCAATCTTTATAGTTAAATTTTTCCTAAGAGATAGCATCAGTGAGGGAATTTTTTTCTATTGTCTTATTTTTCACATTAATGCGATGTCGAGGTATGTGGCCCTATCGCAATTGAAAATAAGGTTTCGATAATCCTTCCATAAAGTTTCGATGAGTACATCTGAAATAACCTTGAGATATTCTTCAGGGAAATACAAAAATCTCCTTTTGTGTTTTTTTGTGCAGATTTATCTATTAAAATCCTATCCGCAATCTATTTTCCGTGCACACACCTTCAACCGAATGTATGCCATATATGATATTACCGTTTCCAACTTTCACCAAGGTTAATAGGAACCATAACAGCTCCCTACCCTTCCCCCCTATAAGAATATCGATTTGTAGCCTCACATTTCAAGATTAGACTTCTTGTAATGTTTCTGTTCAACATTCGGCGATTTCTGACAATTTTCCCAATAAAACATGATCATTGTGACATTAAGCCTGGCAACGCTGCATAGTAGAGGGAACTCTCAGCGTCATGTTGATGGTTCGTCACCACGCACAGGATTGTAATCAGTTACGGATACCCGTCTATGAGCGCGAACGTTTTATGCACGTCTTGACCTGATTTTTCTTGCGGAAATTTAATATTAGTCTAAAATGTCTGACACAGATACAGCTGATGAAGTGGTTGAAATCAGCTTAACGCCACCCAGAAAAAGGGCTAAAAAGCTTCATCTTAGCGCAGGTGAAAAACAAATTATTCTAAATATCTACAAGAACCAGATGCAAGAGAATAGTGGAATAAAGTATGTAAGGTTGCTGAAATTTCTGGAGTAGGTCGATCAAGTGTTTACAAAATCTTGAAGGAATATAGACAAAATCACTCACTAATCTGAGCCAAAAACATATCCAGCGAGAAAAAAAATCATCGAAAAAATAGATGACTTTGACAAAAGTGCCATTAGAAGAAAAGTACATCACTTTTTCTTCAGGAATGAAATACCTACAATAGATAAAATATTGAAGCAAGTGAATGATGAGGACCTGCCAAAGAACTAGACTTTCGATTTTTGAAAAGAGGAAGGAATAGTTTATTGATAGAAAAGGAGGAAATTGGTATCTGGAGGAGAGAATACCTTAGAAAAATTAGGCAATTCCGCGCTGAAGGAAGAAAAATTCATTATTTAGACGAAACATGGGTGAACGCGGGGCATACGCAGGGAAAGGTTTGGGTAGACAGATCTGTGAGGTCCTCAAGGCAGGCTTTTTTAGATGACCTTTCGACGGGATTGAAAAATCCTGCAGGTAAGTTTCGAAGTATATGAACTTTTTTGGATGCAGATAATTCATTTTCTGATCGAATCAATGATTTGGAAGCTCCGAACTCAGTTTTGCTATCTCATCCAAGTTTCTGAGTATTTCCTTCACCCAAAAACTAATCTCAGACCCTATCCTACATTAACCTAAAAAGAGTAAGTTGCTTAATTTCGTCATTTAGTGCGCTCGCTGAGAAATAAATAACTAATTACTTTCAGGCAAGGGAAAACGCCTGATCATTTGCCACATAGGTAGCGTAGATGGATTTGTTCCTGAAGCATTGTGGGCATTTGAATCCAAAAAAACTGGAGACTATCACGAAGAAATGGATGGTAACTCATTTGAAAATTGGTTCAAAAAAGTTTTGCCGACACTTGATGATAACGCAAAAAAATTCCAACAATGGCCACCAAAAAGGCAGACATTCAACAGTGGCTTGTCTCAAAGAAGATCGACTTCGACCAAACAATGGTCAAAGCTGAGCTGATAAATATAGTCAAGCGACACAAGTATAAATATGATTTAAAAATTGTTGACGAAATGGCCAAAAACCAAAATAAAACGATTCTCAGGCTGCCTCCCTATCACTGCGAACTGAATCCTATCGAGTTGATTTGGGCCGACATCAAGCAATACGTGGCGTCAAATAACAGCACTTTTAAGTTTTCTGACCTTAAAAAACTGTTTGGTGTTGCTGTCGATAGAATTACGCCAGCAAAATGGAGAACATGTATTGACCATGTCCAAGAGAAGGTTGAAACCAAAATGTGGGATATGGACAATATCATTGACACCCAAGTTGAACCCCTTATAATTGACATCAACAATTCTGATGATTCAAGCTCCTCGGAATACAGCATATAAATCGATTGATACCATTAAGACTGGCAGTTTAAGGGGCTTTTTGGAAAGACAGGTAAGTTCATTATAGACTGCAATCAAAGTGTAAGTTTCTAGTTATTAATGTGGAAATTCCAAATTTATAATTACACAAAATTAGGGTTAATTTAGGAGTTCCAAAGCATAATAGTGCCATTTTGACCTTCTTCCTATTTCTCATGTAAATTTTAATAGCAATCAAACTAACAAACTTTATGGAGTCTGTAATAAACTTTTGTACTACTACGACTACGTCTGTAGTTTCTATTTGCTCAAAAAAATTTGCTCTGCATTGTGAATAGAAGGTTGATTTGTAAATATTATTATAAATATATTATTATAATAAATATTATATGTAAGTTAATAATAAAATATGAACAATTTCAATTGAGATGGTCCACAAGTTTTTTTCGTGTGCGTTTTAGTAACATTTTGTTGAAATGATGAATACAGAATTTTTGCACTGATTCCTAATGTCGAAATATGATTAGAAAGGCGTAGTATATTCCTGATAATTTACTATGCTTTTGATAGAATTTACAGCAACACATATCTTGTACGACATTTTTTTGATAGATCAGTCACAATAGCTTGATACGGCCCTGTAGCGTCTCCTACGGTTAAGTTCTTGATCACGTGCAATACGGGTGTATATGTTTGATTTTACTTTGTTTCTTCGATGGATACAGTTTAGTTTAAGTAATATGATCAGATATTTTGATCACAACTTTACTTTTAAGTTGAACGACTGATTTATAATATAGGCCTTATATGAAGGCCATTCGAGTAAGTTTATTGTACTTAAGCTCAGTGATTAACTCTGCAATAAAAAATATTCTATAAATTATATAATCAAAAGGTGTTATTTTATAATTTGTTTGTTTCGTTTGTCCAGCAAATTGAAGAATAATAACTGATTATTTCTTAGAACGGTGTTCCAACCACCCTTTGTCAGCATACAGAATTATATAAATTATCCTCCAATATGGACAGATCAATGTAATAGATTGAAAAACCTTTGTGTGTATATGGATTCGATTCAATGGAAAAAGTCCTTTGCCCCATAAATCCAGCTGAATTTGAACGGTGACATGCGGAATTTGGTTCATGCAGTTTTTCAGTCAAAAGAAACACGAATCCAGATATAACAAACAAAAACAAGTCAGTGATTCAGATTCTTC